GCGGGTCTGATTTCGGCAGCCGGGCGCTACGCGGGGAGGGAAAATGTCTCCGTCCAGAGCTGGGCAGCGCCGCGGCGTTTGGGGGGCTCTCCGGGGCTTGCCGTGAGTATGGGAATGCCCTCTGCGCAACGGCACGCGAGGTGGTGTCAGCCTTCCTAAAACCGTGAACTTTTTGTGCGGGTGGGGCTGCTGCTAAAATTATTTGCAGGCAGCGTTAACAAGTGAAGTGTCGCCGAGGAATGGGTTTCTGTTAGGCGCAAGGATTATTTTTTACTAAAATAGTCGAGCGCTGGTGCAAATGAAAAATTAAGGCTTTGTTATTGTCTGTGGCTTTTAATTTCTTGTTATTTTTAGGGCGCTGGCGATCTCGTTGGTTATGAAATTTTGCAGGCAGCGTGAATGACTACTTTTGGCTGACTTTGGCAGAGGAGGGAGGATGAGAGAAGAATTTCGGGGGGGTATACGCAGTAGTCTTTATGTAAATATGTATGTCAGATCAGACATCCATTATTTTTTCCATGATTAATTCAGTAGCAATATTTTTAAGAGTGCATGTGCCTCCACGCGTGGCCTTATATAACTGACATTTTGACTACCGTTTTAGGCCAAAATCGCAATAGAAGCTATCACTTACAGGGAGTAAATATAAAAAGGACGTATCTACAGTTGTAGCACAAGGGTATCGATTCCTCTTGTGGGTGAATACGTATATTTTGGAGTTCTCCGAAGGTTACAAATGAACCAAAGAAGGAAAGGAGATAATATTTTAAATGGCATCATTGTAAATTTTTTAAACTTAAAATGTAGGGCCTGATCTTACTTGTAGCGCAGTTGACTGTGGAACTCACATTGGGAACAAGCTCAGATATTTAGGAGAACAGTTATTATATAAGTTTTTTTTATTTTAGAGATTGGGGAGGGGGCTGGGAGAAAGAAGTGCTGCAACACGATTGGTTATTCTTTTGAACAGTAGTTCGTAGGTTAAGCTAATACAAACTGAAATTCAAGCACTGATTTTTATTTTGCTGCCTGTAATGAAAAGCATATTTAGCACGTATATAAGTAACACTTGGTAAATTAGAGGCCATATTATGCTTTTTCCTAAATGTGCATTATCTTAGCAAATAGAATTTGTGTGCCTGTGACTTACCTGAAAGGCTAGAAAAACAACTTGAAAGAATTTGATTATAAATCAGAAAAGCCAGACAGAATAATTTCTAAGGTAATTTTTCATGGCATAGAAGTTTTATTTGCATTCATCAAGTTTTAGATAAAAATATCAGTAAACTAATTTGTTGGTTCCTGGGTTTTGGTTTTGTGCTATTTTGTAGGTTAGAAGTTTTACTGTTACAGGTTTTACAGATTTCAGACTGTCATAATTGGGAACAATAGGTCTTTTCCCCCATTTTATAAACATAAGCTCCTTACCAAGGCTCACAAATATTAAAAAACCCCTCAACAAACAAAAGAATAACACCCCACCCCCCACTCCACCCCAACAAAAAACAACCCTGAACACAATGGAGATGAAGCATTTGAGAATAACCAAGAATAATTCATCTATGGAATTATACTCTTGTATCATGAAGCAAAAAGACCAAATTCTTAGTATTTAGTTGCTTTTAAGTGTTATGATTAAAGTTTCAGCATCCATGCTGTAAAAGATAAGGCAATTTGTAGTATGTGCTTTATTCTTTTCTAATACGTGCATATTTTGAAATTGTATAGTTCTGTTTTTAGTAGGTTCCATTGGAATTATTTTTACTCCTCTACATTTACTCTCAGTTATTTTGGTATTTGTAGTAACATCTGCTAATATTTGCAATTCACAGCAATTTTCTTATAAGAAATGTAATATTTTTCTGCTGATTCGATAGCAGTAGCTGCAGTTAGGATTCCAAAATGGTTTCTACTCATATCCCTTCTTTTGCAGATTCAGCTATATCTCTTGGATATGGAAGTTTCTTGGCCCTGGGGTTGAGGTTTTATGGGAAAACAAAGGAAATTGTGATGAGCAGGGTTAAAAAGTAATTTTTTTTCTTTAAATAATTCTAACTATGATAAAAGGGAGGTGGGAGGAGAAAGATTTTTGTGACTTAACTTTATGCATGTGAAAAATTGGGAGTCAGTACAAGGTAATCTTTTAAATTAAATACCAATTTAAGAAACTTGCTAGAGAGTAGCTCCTCCGGAGGGTTGTGAAATTTGAATTTATTAGCTGTCTAAACAGATTAATTCTTTTTTTTTATAAACTTTATTTTGGCCTGTGTTGCACGTTGTCATCTTACACATCGAGGAGAAAATAGAACTGAGTAAGAACTGCCAAGTTTAAACAACTGTATATGAGTGTGTCCTTCAGAAACACATTTTCCAGAAAAGTAAACTGACAGTTTAATACCTTAAATGACTAGATAAGACATTATTTGAGGAGTGTATTATAATTGTTATTCAAAACATGCAGTATTGAATAGCCTCATAATTATTCTGTATTCAGTAAAACAAATATCCTCTTGAATTTTTAATGCATCTTAGGCCTTGTCATAAGACATTATTTGAGAAGTGTATTATAATTTAGTTATTCAAAACATGCAGTTATTGAATAGCTCATAATTATTCTGTATTCAGTAAAACAAATATCCTCTTGAATTTTTAATGCATCTTAGGCCTTGTCCCTTGGACAGTTAAGATATCTATCATTTGACAAATAGTCTTTGTCTGCAATTTATTTAATGAACCCTGATTATATCAGAAAAGGTGACCATTTCACAGGTATTGAAAATGCGATGTGTTTTGCCCAATCAATCAAGGCTTTCATTATTGTAAAACTTTCCATATCGCAGTAGGAATACTCTGTTACTGATTAAATCCTCACACGCTGTCAATTCAGACTGTCTTACCATAAGAGGTAGGCCTTACTAAATTTGTAAAGTTGAGATGGCATTTAAGAATCAGCAGCTGACCAAGTCTAGGGTGGACGCAAAGTACAGATTGAACTGTTTTCCTTGACCTTGATCTGACCTTTATTTGCAAGCGATTACTGACACAAGGTTCATAATCTCCTTTAGAGCATATTTAGGATGGCACCTGGCATTCTCCTCTATGTACCAGTCTTCTCTTAACATGTTTGCAGAGGGTGGGATCTTGACTATGCCTCAGTCGTGTTTCTCAAAACTCGCTTGCTCTTTACTTGCACAGCTTCTTCAGCAGTTCAGTGTGTTGCATATTTCTGTTCTTGTAGTCTGCATTCAAAATACTTTACATCTCCCAGATGTTAATGTTCAATAGTTACTGCCTGGCTTGGTCATAGGTTTTCATAGCTGGAGTGTGAGTACATCTTTCTTCTACCATGCACAACAGCTTAGGAGTCCTTGAGGAAAAGAGGCAGTTCTTACCAATTTATTTTTATGCCTTGAAACATTGCATGTTGTTGCTAAGGTGATGAGTGCATTTAAGATCTAGAAAGAAATTTAGTAGGATAAAAGGGTATGGGGGGGGAATACAACCCCCAAAAAAGAAAACAACTTGGTGAACTTGGGTAGCATCAAAGATTTTTATCAGAGCCAACCCCTGTTATCTTTGACATGATTACTACATGCTTAAGAGCCAGCAGCTGCCGGTGCATGGTCAACAACTAGCAGAAAAATGATCTAATACATTTTTTTGTTGCTTTTGCATTTTCTGAAATTTAATTTATTTATTAAGTGTTTATCATCTACTTCTCCCAAGTTGTAGTTAATATGCTCCTGTCCTGCCTGCCAAGCTTATAGGAAAATTTGTTCAAATCAAATGCATTAGCACAAGATTTTTCATTAATTCCCTTTCTAAGGAAAAAAAGAGAACAGCCTGGCTTTCACTTTACAATTTAATTCATGTGTCCATTAGAGGAGTAATGTGGACATCTTTTTCCTCTCATCAGGGCATTTCTTCCTTTATGTATGACAGTAGTAATATGTAGTAGTAGTAGTAAGCAGTAATATTGAAGATGAGTGTTTCCTTCAAGAAGAACACTTTTGGAGTCGCTGGCTTCAGACTCAGTCTTCTCTTCGAAAGTAACTTTACACTAACTAAATAAAAGTATTAAAAAAAAAAAAAAGATGGTCATACATAAAAATATCCAGTGGTTTTATCAGGCTATAATCTGCTTTAAGGTGCTAAGTAGGCTCCAAAGTGTAATCAAACAATGCTGAAATAATCTGGGCAGTTTCTGTCATGGATTATGTGGCAGATCAAAAATCTGTTCTTGGAGGAAGAAAGATGCTGCTGTTATACAGGATAAAAGTTTGCTCTGCTACATGCTTGTGAATAATACCTTTTAAAAAACCCTTTTTTGGGGGGTGAGAAGAGGGCAACGTTTTACTTCTCCTGTGCTTATTTATATCTCTCTGGTAGTGGTTCCATGCTGTGCTGTTCAGTTGTATTTGTGTCTTAGCCGTGTTCCACTTAGCACTTTATCTAGGCAACAGACCCCGGTGGCATAATTTGTACTATTGTCTGGAATGAATACTGCATGTGCCTCTTTCATATCTTCTGTCGGTACAAAGTCAGGCTGTCAAGAGGAGGGGGAAAAGTCTGTAATTTCATTTTACCAAAAGCACATGCTGCATAAGGCAACTTGAGTGGGAGTCTGTCATGAAACCAAATGCCTTCTTAAAAAACCCGGTTGTGTCACCTCTTAAAATAGTCTCCTATTGTAGTGCAGGCAAAACACCTGAATCGGGTTCACCTATATCTTGGACAGCCTGTGGTGATTATTTATTGTAGTACAGTTTTAAAGTCTCAAACCATTGCTAATAAATCTTTTGAAACTTTACTACCTTAAATGGCTCCACTGCTATCATAATGTTGCTATTTCCCATAGTTCTTATCAGATTTCAGGGAGAGCATGAACTATAGGGTAACTCTTAGTAAATAATACTGTCCCTGAGATAGTGTGAGATTAAGGTGGGTGAATTATGAATCAATTATCATCTGTAATAAATAGTTATTATGCCTTGGTTTATATCAGTCTGAATGCAAAGTGCAACTTAAGGCTTCTGCTTCACAGATTCTAAATAAATGCTGTCATAATAAAAGTTACATTGTTTTTTTTTTTTTGTCTGTAA